CATTTGTCGCGATTCGAAGATGCGCGGACAATGAAACCAGCTCTCCGTTTCTCTATTTTAATTCCAATCTCACTTCGTCGACGAATTATCGCGCGACCGATGACTATCTCGTTTCCGAAGCGAAGGAAAATCCGGAAGCGGACGAGACTGGGGGGGGACGCGGAAACGTTACGTGACAAAGAAGCTCGGCGATATTTCAAGTTTCAAGAGAATAAACGGCGACAGATTAATGCCGACGGCGTTTGATTCCTGGGAAATGAGCGACGATGGTGAGGCAACGCGAACGAGGATTCTCTCTCGCCTCTCTCGGGGAGATTTAACCTTTTCCAGCTGAAAGATGAGGACGAAGAAGAAGAAAGAGCCGCACGCATGGGAAAGTGTTTTCCCGAGAATTCTCAGAATCCGCCCGACCGCTGGATCGTGATTAGATTTGTCTAATTGTAAGATCGTCTCGCTTGGAAGACGCGTGTGCAAATAGATTTCATCAGACGCATGTAAATTTATATTTAAAAAATTGCCGTTCACGGGGATTTAATCGCCTCGTGGAAGAGGAAACCTTTCTCTCTCTCGCTCGTCTCAATCATGAATTTTATCTACTTCTAATCGATCCTACTTATGGCAAACAAGAACGGACATCTTCGGTCTTCCATAATTTATTTTATCACTCTTACTTCGCTTATCTCTGAAATAAAGTGATAGAAAAAACACAAATTTGCCTCTGCGAGCTTCACAGCCGCCACGTCGGTTCAAGCGAAGTACGAGCAAGTATGCGGATGTAATTTCGCGCGACGTTCTGGAGATGCTAACGAATATGCTAACGTTTTTCAACGCTGTTACTTATGCTAAGTTGCCCCGTCTGATTTATTGCGTTTTCGGATCATCTTCTCACGCCGCTTTCGATATATTATCGCTCAGCGACAGCGAGAGTGACGTGTCCAAAAGGGGAGAAATAACTGGGAGGAAAACTGATTAACATACGTCAGCCGAGTGAGAAACGTGGAGCCTTTCGAAAGCGAAACGAATTGCTCGTAGGTATATACCACGACGAATCAACACAAAGTGATATGTCAACGGTAAAAAGTTTCCATTCTGGAGTTTCAGTTTTATATGTTCTCTGATGGTATCACGAATTTAGCGTCGAATGTGGGCACAATAGTAATAACGAATAAATAACGAGTAGAATCTATGTTGCCTTAATGAATACACCATTTGGGTCAACTTATTATCATATTCATCACTTATTTCAAGTGATCGAATCATGTACATTATTTATTTTGGCGAGAACTATTCTAAATGCAAATTACAATTTACATCTTTGCATCAGACTCTTTATTATCGATCTTCTATCGAAGAAAAAGAAATGTCATTTATTTTGAAAGGTATACCATTAACGATCGATGTATGTTTATTATCCATTTAACTAAAAAACAACTGTTTAGGCAAACAAGCATTTTTCATTTCCGGATTAAGGAAATGTTAAGTTCAGGGAGACGAAAAATCGCGTCGAGAGCATCATTCGCGGTTTCGCATCCGCGCGAAGGGAAAGTGCCGAAAACATAACTGTAGGAATGCGTAGGCAGTTGGTTCCCGAGGCCCGGCCGATGGGGAGCCTCGGGCTGACCATGATCTTGAGCGATCGAGAGGACGAACGTGCTGTTGATGACCGGTTTTTAACATATTTCGAGACGGGGCTTTCGCCCAGATCGTTACTCTTGACCACGAAATTTTCGCTCACGGACATAATAAATCTGTTGGTCTTTAATGCGTCGCGACGTTCGGCTACTAATTTTCACGAAGATGGGGGCCTCGCGACAATGAGAAACTCGACGATATTTATATTTCCGTTTCCTCAATCTTTTGACTGCTCTGTTTTAGACAGTCCACCATTCACGTGTAATTTATCATCTGAATTAATTTGATAAATTAAATCAGAATTTAACGAGACGTTATATAATTACACGTTAAAAAAGTACAACAGCGGAGAGAGAGAGAAAGAGAGAGTTCAATTCCTACGGAGTGAAGTATAAATTATTTTTAAACCGTGAATCATTAGATTAGTGAAGGTTTCTTCTCTTCGCGCGTCACTGGAATATTGCATTGTACATTTCGCGATTCTTTCCGCAAGAAAACACATCTCGATCACAAGAAAGAGTCGCGCGCTATGGGAAAGGGTTCACTCCGAGTGCTCGACCGAGATTTATAACCGCGTTGCAGCATGGTATTTCTTTTTTTACAGGTCATTACACATGCCGCGCACGTACGCGCGTGTATACGATAGAGCAGAATAGAGCGAGAGAGTATAGGGCCACTCCTCTTTTACCTTCGCGCGAGTTGGAGAATGACTCGTCGTCGTTGCCCCTCGCACCTTGAATACTCGCGGTGATTATATTTTCGGCAGTGGTTTGTCTCAGCCTCCGCTATTTTCATTCACGTAACACGTACGAATCTACGAAGATTTTATTAACGAAAGGACGGAAAAACATAAAGGTACAATATATTTAATTACATAAAATTATATAATATAGAAAATATAATACGAGAGAGATATTAAAATATTAATTATTATATAAACGCTCTGCATCGTTACATCTTTAATCATTACTTATAGGCTGCGGTCCACTTGACGCTACAAATGCTTTGGAGCGTTCTTCTTCTCCTTCTTTCTTCATTGAAAGAAAAGAGAAGAGGAATGCTTCGAAGCATTTGTAGCGTCAAGTGGACCGCAGCCTTAAACGCAGAAGCATCTTTTCTATACTTTCAATTATTTCACATAAAGATACCGTTGACGATCGATAAATTAATGTTGATCTCTTTTACAGTGTGGGATATAGGTTCTCCATTCGATAAGTTGCGTACGGTTCGCGAATTCTCGCCGTATTTACCTCGCGAGAATAATGCGCGAACCCACACGTACCCCATCATCAGAAACAGTTCTCGCGATAGAAGCGTTATGCTCGCGCTTTTCAGTTTCAGCTGGAGCCGTTATTACAGCTTGCCGCGAGCTCAATCCGCGCCGCGGTCGTGAGAGAACACGGGTGAAAGGAGCGATCTCGCGATTCCGCGATGCTGCGCTACTCCGATTCCCTCCAATTGCGATTCTGGGTCTCCGGGAAAAACTGTCGGATTGAAAGACCATTCCTCCGCGAGAGACTCCTGCGACGGAAGTAATATTTCGCTTCGGGTGTACGAAAAGGAAAGCAGCGAAAGTGACCGTCGAGAGGGTTCTCGCATGAAAGACACACGTAAAATGAATAATTGAAAAAAAGTTAGAACATGCAAATTATACAGCGGGTAATCAAGAATTAAGAACGAAAGGTCTCCGATGGAAGGAAGTCGATGACAAAATCGGCCGGTTTCGAACGGATCTCTCGATTCGAGACTCAATTGCCTCGAATTACGATCTTCATTCTAGGCTCAATTGCGAGAGTACCATGATTGGAAAGGTAGAAACGACGTCTTCTCTTCGACAGCGTTGTTCAAGGTTGCTGTGGCATAGAGAAACGTCCGGGACACCCCGTATAGCAATCAGCGATGTAACGGAGCACTTTGTAACGGCACACGACAAGAATGGGAAAAGCGCGCGCCGCGCCGCGCTTTTCGGCACCGCCGAGGCGTCGATCCGGCCCCCTCCCGCCCCCCGGATTCGAAATCAGATTCCAGTCGTGCCTTCTTTTCCCGGAGGCACGACTTAGCATTGTTTCGGGGTAGAACGATTATTAGGCGGCGGCGGTTGCGCGTTACGTAACGATTTCGTCGGGCGCGGGCACGGGCGCGCACTTTCCGCGCCGCGATTGTGTTAGCGCCGCTGTCTTGCGTTTGCCTCACACAGGATGTTTTCCGAACGGAGCTCATGCCTCACAATGCTCATGCTCGAGCAGATAGCGATCGGGCGAGAAGGAAATTTTTTTAACTTGCGACATGCTCGATTGCCTCACGCGATCGCGAAATCGCCCCCGCTTCTTTTATCCGTTTCGCTGGCCGGCGAAATTAAAATTCGACTGGCAATGTCAATGTTTTACGTGAACGGAACTCTTATCTTCCGTAAAGGAATATGTTGAGCGAATAAAAATATCGAGGGATATTAAAAGCAGGAAATATATTAGGCCGTTATTAAAATGTCTTATTTATTAGGATAAAAAATTGAGAGTGAAATATTTGAAGTTTATTCAAATTTCAATTAGGCAGAAAGAAACATTTGTTAAAGAGGAAAATAATATGTTGTAATAACAATCGAACAGGTTTTTATTAAATCCGCAAAGAAATGCGCGTCGATGCCGCTGTCTATTGAAATATTTCTCTTCCGCAAAGAGACAGGAATGCGTAAATCCGAGGACAATCTCTCGAGTAGGAGATTAATGATTTGTAATCTCCATGAGAGAAGCGCGCGCGAAGATAATCGACAGGACGTTATTTCTAATAAAGCAGAATCCGCCGGTATTTTTACATAACCGTTGATTGTTAAAGGGAGAGGAGAAGTAACGGTGCTTTGCAAAATAACGGCGGTAATACGTCATATTTACGCGGCTGATGTAACGCTGCAGTTTTTATCCCGTCCCAAGAGATGATTATGAGTGGCCGATTGCACGTGCGACTGCAATAATTGCGTAATTGTCTGAGAATTACCGCTCGATTCTCCCATGATCGTAAAGAAAATATTATTCCGTATCAAAGTATACGATAAATGTGTAACTCGCAAATTATTTTGTTCTGTCGAATCGTAAAACAACATGAGATACAATTATAAGTAATTAATATAAATAATTGAATTACACGTGTATCTTCGCGGTGTTTTGCAAGAATATTTGTCTATATTCCCATTCATTTCCATTTCGGTGATGTGATAATATTTTTATCGTGTACACGACGCGAGAAAGTAAGACTGTTATAATGGCTAATTGGCTGTTATATACGTTATGTACACTAAGGACATCGGACTGTCACACTGGTTGTGAAAACAATTTTTTTCTCATGCTTCTTTTTCCCTCATTTACTTCTTTCAGATTCCGCGAGATTCGTGTGTTCGCGTATATAGGATGAGAGCAGATTGAGCGCAATGACATCGAGATACTTCGTGTTTGTTGCGGCTCTAGCGTATGGTGAGTGTAATGACGTCATCGCTGATAAATGCAAAATTTTGAGCGAAGCGCTTCTCGTTTCAAGGCCTGCCGGAAATCCTCCGATCGACCGCGTCGCGAGCAGAAAGTTGCCGACCAAAATCGGCCAGAAAGGATAACGTCTTCTTTTCCTATCAATTTTTCACTAATTTCCTCGGACCGCTATGAACGTTATAGATAAGATAAAATCGGATAAAATTGCATTAATATTGCTCGATAGGAAAGGACCGATCGCTTTATATCTTTCCAAATTATTTTATAGTACACTTCGTATACTATAAAAGTATAGTATAATTCGTTCACGAATTGTACAACGCGTTTATACGTGTAATACCTATTTTTATAATCGATCGTCGAGCGGGTTGTAAAGTAAAACAGATTTTTGTGAGAGCATTTCCTGCAGTTGCAGTGTCCGCCGCGCAAGTTTACAAGAGCTACCCGGAGGACGCAGCCGCAGCGATCGAACCAGCAGCTACAAATAATGACTTCGTCACCCAGACCGTCTACGGCTTTTTGGACTTCACCACGACGATCGGCAACACGGTGATGGTCTTCAGCCCTCAGAGCGCTCCTCCAGGTAACGTCTGCAAAATTTTACTTGTTAATTACACTCGGATAATTATATCAGATTCGTAAAATTTGAAATACAGTGATACTACTATTGTAATAATAATTAATAAAATTATAAAAATATTATAAGTAAACATGTTCAAAATTGTTAAAAGTAAAAATTGTAAAATCATAATTTTAATTTGAAGTAAAATTAATTAATTAAATCTGCCTGCCGAAATTGTCAATGTGATGATTGTGTTATCAAATTTCGTTTTCTTTTAAAGTGCGACTTGTTATAATCATCCGACACGTAAAATGCGTCTTGCTTAGCTACTGTAAGAATGTGAAGAACTATCGAAAAGTTCCAAAGAGCGAGTTTGCTGAGAAACCAATACCGAGAGCTCTGTCGCAATCGGCGAAGCAGAAGATTCGCAATTGGTATTCGTAGCCATGAGGTGTCATGCGATTTTGAATTGTGCCAGAAATTACTTTCTAAGCGCGATCGACACCTCTTTGTTACGCCGTGCTCGTTCACGAGACCTGATCCTTCGTGTTACGAGTGAGGATAAGGCCTTGAGACTTTGAGGAGTACTGTTTATTCAAGGTGGGCCTTGGCGAGGGGCGTCGGGGACCAATCTCTTTAGCATGTCGCTGTCCGGGTCCGCGTATATATCATGCGCATTGTTCACTCGTCATGACTCTTTTGTCATCTTCTCTCTCTCCTTGACTTTTTAAACCATCCACTCAGCACGAAGTTGCATGTTTTCATTTGCTTCCTTATCTTCAAATGAAGATATAGAACCTGAAAATGTAACAGAAAACGATTATAATCATTTATACTTTATTATACATATAATTAATTACACTTATTATATTACGTGAGAAAGCTGCAATCAAAAATTAATATTAGTTTAATCACCAAATGGAATAAAATAATACGTTGACCGGTACAATTAATAAAATAAAATAATCGAGAATAATATAATTCACACTTATGAAAGAAATTAAAATATAAGAATGCGATTTTAATGTGATAGGGGATTAAAATAAGAAATAATACGGTTGACGCACATAAAACTAAGAGTCGAGGGAAGAGATTTCCACATATTTTGGTGCCTTTCTTCCTAAAGGATAAAAAATTTGGTGAGGCCTTCGGCGCGGGTGTTGGCCGTCAGGGTGTGCTCTTTTAGTTTCGTTTTCCCATTCGGCCTCCGTGGAATCGCGATCTTTATTCTCGTCAGGTATGCAAATGCGGCGTTTCTTTTCAGAAGGAGGCATCGGGAAGAAGATCACGTCCTCCACGCCGGCGATTTACACGAAGCCGACGACGGAGCAGCAGCCGAAGAAAAATGTCCCCGACATCCAGCCCAGCAAGACCCACAAGGCCGAGGATCAGGGCGGCGAGACGAAGAAGCAGATAAAGGGCACAAAGATCGTTGTGAATTCCGTGGTCGAGCAGAACGTGGTGAATCTGTCCGAGAACGCCGCGCCGAAACCAACGAAGAGCCAGGTAAGAACGGGATGACGCTATGCAGGATGTCCTGCCATTATATATTACGTCAACACATAATTTCATCGACTACTTTAATTGAGGTCGACTTTTTTTTATAAATGTCCTTAGTCTTTTAATATGTAAGAGACCTTCGTAAAATAACTTTGACATATATAACATACAATAATTAAATGTTTCAAATTCTGTTCGTGATAATATATATAAATGATGTGCATTACGGTTTGATTTTTTAGAAATTAAATTATTATAATAACTTATAAAACATTGTGTATTGAGAGAAGGCGGCGTAATCATTTAGCATGATTCCTTAGGAACTAAGTAAACAGACGAAGACACCCGTATTGTCATCGGTTGTTCAAGTACGTGCCAAAGATGAAACTCCAGGCGTGAAGAACAATCTCGCCGAACCGGAATACGATTTTCTCTCAAAGCAACCGACGGAAGTGATCGACGAGACGTACAAGGTATGTAAAATGTGGATCAGAGAAACGATTGAAACCACGAAAATAAATCAAATGCTACGTAAATGCCATGAGTTATTGGTTTCCTCGTTCGTGGAACGTCAGAATATGTAACTTTACACGTTATTTAATTTTGTACTGTGTTGTAGAATTGCTATACCTAACAATTACGTTTTACGCCTTTTTAATGCCTTCCTGGCCTCCTTTTAATATTTTCTAACTAGACCAACTGACTGCCGGATCTGCTTTCTCTGCAGTGAAATAAGTGGAGAAAATCACATATTTAAACACGTAATATTCCAAATTATACGATGTACGTTAAAATAATATTTCTAAAGATATAATATTTCTATCTCTAAATTGATATTTTGACATTTTAACGACAGAATGACATTTTAATCAGTGGTAGTAATTTGCACTTTTATAAGTTCATTTTTATAAATCCAATGCTACTCCCCGAAATTTGTCCTCGCTGACTCTTCAGCCGAATGAATATCTTACTTTCAAAAAAAATCGGGAGACAAATTACTTCTTTTGTATCTTACCTTTTATAATTCTGTTCAGTCTTATATATACGTAGAGAGAAAGTAAAATATGATCTAATTTGTCAGAAGTGTGGCATTGAGCTCTTTCGGAATCCAGCCAACAATTTCGCACTTGCAAGATCCGCGATTAACTTTCCACGCTAGATCAGTCGCAGAGGTAGGAAAGTCAGATATCCAGTTTATAAAAGCGACATTGATCTTCGGCGCGCGTGAGCCGGAGCTGCGAGAAATGAAAATTGAGAATCTGGTTTCGATACCGCTAATTGCCGCCGCCAAACCGGATCGCGTCGCTAACGTACGAACGTCGTCGTCGATATATATATAAACGAGTTCCGATCGCGTTTTAGCCGACGGAAAAATGGGTCATCCGGTCAGCGAGGTGAGAAGGTCGCGTGCGGAAGCGATACACGGCTTCGCCGTAAAATTGCGCAACGTACCTACTACATCCCGACGAGCGACTTTCACGTATAACTTCGCGAAGCCGCGAAATTATACGGAATAACCGCGCGTCGGTGTAATTTTCCGCGTGCCGTAATCGATTTCCTAGCCGATCCTTTCTAGATGCCTCCCCCGCGTCCGTCCCTCGGCCATGACGATCGGCGTGAAAGTCCGATCCGATCCCACCGATAAATCGGTTTCGCCCGCGGAGCGCGACGCACGCGCTTTTCCAGCGGTATTTTCCAGCATCACAGAGCCTCGAACGTCTTGTTGCAAATCGAATTATTATTTTATTATATTTTTCTACATATATATATTATTTTAATATTTTATTATGATTTTTATCACGTACTCTCTTCTCTTCCCTCTTCTTCTCTCCCTCTATTCCATTAGAAATTAATTTTAAATGTGCAACTTATTTAAGTCCTCCTCCCGAATGTTATTAAAAATTTGAAAATTTGCACTGAATTTAGAATGAAAATTATTCCATTATAATCATATTATGCATGTTTACTGTAGACTGTAGAGAATTATCGTCATAATCTCCATAAGAATGATGTAGCATTCATTTTTAATACAATCCTGGTTTTTGGCAGCTGATCAATCTGCGACCGTCGTCGAAGGCTCCTCACAAGCCGCGCGCAACCCCGCGAAGGGATAAGGAGAACCCAACCGGGCTGGTGACCAAGCTAGGCGGTACCATCGTGAAGGACGGGCTCACTACTGTGCACGAGACCAGCGTGATCGGGACCTACATCAACGGCAAGTACGCCCAGGTGCTGCAGAGCTCGTCGAGAATCCTAACGGCGCCGCTCGCGCCGGTGGCTGAAGGTAAGATTCGGCCCTCCAGCTCCAATCGCATCCTGAAGACCATCGGTCCTCAGCACGGTAAGCTCAAGCCTCAGCTGGAACCCACCCCGACCTATCAGCAACAGGAGGAGTCTTCGCTGCCCTTAGAGGCCCTCTTCGACGAATCCTCCGGTGAGTATTCCATGATAAATTTTTGTAAATTTTGAAAATTTTATGTCCAAATTCTTTTTTCGCTTAATCTAAATTTGGTATATTACATGATATAATGAATTTTGTACAAAAAGTATTTGTGTCTTATGTATGTAAGTTATAAAGCTGTCCTATGTGTGATAAAAAAATTGTCTTATTGTAATATACAGAAATTTTTTAATCTTTAGAAATAGAAGATTTTACACGTTTGTTTTAATTATGTTATTAGTTCCAAAAATTTTAGTTTATTTTACTTTCAAAATAATGTAATTTGTAACGTGCAATTGCGAGCTTAATAATTATGTGAAAAATTTTAATCAATGACTTTAATTGTCACATTGGACGATAATTATAATAAAAATAAAAGTCTTCTTTATCAATTTTTTTTCATTCTCAATAAAATTTATAATATAAAATTTTTCTTATAAATCTCTTGAGGAATAGATTCATTGATTAATTTTTGAATTAGGCATTCCGGTGCGAACGACGCGAAGACCGACCCCCAATAATCCATCTAGGCCCAAATTCCGAAACAAGATCGCCGATGAATATGATAACAGTGAACCACAGCAAACGAGGATTGGAAAGAATCGCTCCAGTACGACGCGTCCAAATTATAAGTGAGTGTCGTTAACGGAATGGCACAATTAAGAGAATAAATTCGTGAATGATTAATAATAATCTTTTCTCTCTCTTTTTTTGTTTTGTTAAACAATAATTAATTTTATCGCGCTATCGTTTTTTTTTATAAATATAGGAAACATAATTTGATACGAAGCGATTCTCTTTTGACTTAAATCTTCTTCTTCTCAGAAATCGCCCTGCGACCACCACCACTGAGGCACCCATCACTCGTCGTCGCAGCAGTTTCCGGCCGAACAGTCAGTCCGCTATCTCACCCTTGAAACAATCGACGAAGTCGAAGAATAATGACCAGCCATCGTCGACGCCGATCAGTCTTCTGCCCAAGGTGAAACTACCGAGGACGCAAGGTCGCTGGTCGTACAAGACCACGCCGAAGCCGAGGATCATGATTCGCAAACAGGTGGACGATGAAGATGTCCGAACGTCAACGACCGAGCCGAGTACAGCGGAGTCGTCTCTCGGACCGATCTTTGACGAGCAAGGCAGAGCGACGGCGGCGACGATCAACGTTGCCTCATCTAGTGGCGCCAATGTTGCCCAGAGGAAGGAGCTGTCCTTGACGGAAGACGAATTGGACCCCAGTGAGAGCGAGGATGTGGCCAGCGTCAGCATGCAGGATCAGCAGCATCCTGGAGAACAGATCCTGCCGATGGAGACGCTCAACGTGGAGATCTCCACCGCGGCGGATCTCGATAATATATACTTCGAGATTGCCACTATCAAATCGCCCTACGCTTTCCAGGTCAGCTTTTTTGATTCTATTTTAATATCTATTTATCTATTTGCCAATTAGATGGACAATTAAATTAATCACTGAATTATCGATCTAATAACCCAAGACGTTTTCTCTTCAGGTAGGAACACTCCGAAACACCCGCTACATCACGGTGACCTCCACCATCAAGAAAACTTTCGCAACGGCCGAACCGAGCAGCTCGATCTCGCCCACCGAACCGCTCACGGAGAATATCCTGGCGAACACCGGGGCTGCCTACGAGTCGACTTTGCCGCTGGACTCGTCTGTCGCGACGCTTCCGGCGATCTCTCTGGACGCTGCTCAGGCGACGCCGCCGTTGGAAACGCTGACGGAAACGTTCTCGACGACACAGACGTTGCTAAAGACGCATATGTTGCCGGTGATCTACGCCGGCAACAGTACCACCCGGTTGACTCTGGTGCAAACGTACAACATTGCCCGGGTGGTAACAGCGACGAAGACGTTACCGCCGATGGAGATCTATCAGTTCATTCCGAGCAAGACGCTGAACGAGTTCAACTCGAAGCTCGACGAAGCCGGCAGCGAGCTGCACCTCGAGCTCGACTTCGGCGACGACGATAGCGATGACGAGGACGTGCCTAAGAGGGTAGTGGTGCCCAACAACGACCCCGATGCCGACCTAGACATCTTCAAGTCGGCGTCGCCATCCAAGGCGAAGAGCGACGTCGCGACCAGCAGCAACGCCGAACCTCAGCTGACCCCGGAACAGGCCCAACAGTTGGCTCTGCTGAAATATTTCGGTCAGCCGCAACCCCAGGTTATCACTACCTCCAAACCGGTAGTCACCTTGGAGACGCTATACGAATCGCATGTAATTCCCGTGGTGAACTTGGGGAATACCATCTTTTCGACACTGACCAGGCCAGTCGGCACCGTGCCTAGGTCGGTATCTTCATCCAAATACTTTTAATAAGCGAATTTTCCTTTTTTTTTAAGTAATGGACATTTAAAGAGCAATTTAATAAATAATTAAATATTAATATTTAAAATTTGTTTAATATTATATGCGTCGATCCATTGCAAGTATATTCTATTATATTTATTACATTATCTTACATTTATATTTTTTACCGTGATGCATTATGATTGCATTTCTCTGCTTCAGGACATCCTACGAATACGGCACGTCCACTCTGAGCCCGGTGCTGCAGCCGCAGGTCCCGCAGGTTCCGCAGGTACCGCAGCTGCCGCTGTTCCCGCAACAGCAGCAATTCACGGTGACAAGCGCGCCCATAGTCACCCAGACCCTCGCCACCGTGTCCGACTCGCGGGTACTGAAGCTCACCTTCGGCGCCAAGACCGCCTACACCACCCTCTTCTCCACAAGGGTCGTTCCTACCGAGCTCACCACCTATATCACTAACACGGTGCCGGTGCAGCCGACGGTGCCGGCGTATCCCGGTTACTACCCGGCACCGGTGCCCTATGGGCCCTACCCCTTCGTTGGTTAGATCTCGATCCGATCTTCGACTCCTCCGAGTCCTTCGCAATCCACTTCGATTGCGGTCAATCGCCAGATAGATTAGTTTTCTTTCAAGCTAAATATTAAATTAATTAATTTTTATAATTATATAAGGGAGAAGGTACATAGTTTTTTTTTATGATAAACTATACGAGCGGTACGATCCTAAACATAACAGTCTTATTTATGTGTATAATGGTTCTTTCATAAATTTTTCTTGATAATCCTTTCGATAAAGGCAGATATATTATATTTCGCACGTTGTATATATTGGTTGCCATTACGATAACTGAACACTTAATAAATAGTGATTTATGATAAATTTAATATTATACTTACATAAGATTTCTAATTAAAAATATCTTAGATTTAAAAATAAATTTTAATAAATTTATTCATGTCAAAATTAAAGATAAGAATCAATGTGACAGCGCTGCAAATCTACAATGTCTTTTACAGAGCAACAATTTTTTGTAATTGCAATTCTTTAAAAAATCGACGAATGTGTATCGTTGATGTAGAACCTGAAGGGACGCGGCCGCGATTGCAGGCGAAGAAAATTTTACAAATTTACAGTATCGAATTATTCAATATAGCAAAACATCGGCGATGATCGCAATCGAACGGCATTATTGTAAATAAATTATTGACTATAATATATATAAATATATATTGTATATCGTATATTATGTATGTATACTTCGTATTTTGTAAATAAATGAAACGAAAACGTGAATTTACTTATCGCGTCACAACAAATCTACATATCGAATAAAAAAACATTAGAAAAGATATAAGAAAAGTAATCTGTTAATAAAACGTAAATCAATTAAATGTAAAACAATAAAAAAATACTAACTTTATAATTTTATAAAAGTAAGTACTGTCAATATGATAAATTGAAGGAATATAGAATTTGAAGGGGTTTCAATTTTTCAGATAAAATTGCAATATTATTTCTTGTACGGCATATTATAGTAAGCAATGTGGTTAGTCGCGATAATGATTAAAATCAAAATTTGATTTAGCTATTTTTTATTCGTTTATTAATTCTTTACTTTCCATTTATCAATATATCATCGTGATAACTTTTACATTGAATATCAGAGATAGTATCTCATTTTTAGCAATTGTCGTTCGATTATTAGTATTCATTCAATAATTATTATAGATAGCAACTTAATTTATTTATATATTCTCTCTGTTTTCCATGTAAATCTATTTAAAAATGGCTTTTCCTAAAAATGACCATTAATTTATAAATATAAATCATGCAAGAGAATAGAAATGATGTACAAAACTAAAAAAAATGTTATAATGGAAGAACACACAAATTGGATGTACTCAATTTTAAAGTGAAACGCATGAATGTCTGTCGTGAATTAGCGATAATTAAAACGTAATTTAGTTCCTTATAAAACAGTGGTAGGAATATGCGAGTTATTTTGAATCTGAATCCAACTTTGAATTGAGGATTTATTCGAAAAAGAAGACAAATTTTTATGTTTGAAAATTGAAAGCTTCAGAAATGAAAAGATACGAGCGCAAAACTACTTATTGCATATCCCTACTGACGATTGATGTCACTCTTAGGGCCGGTTGTTCCAACCTGTTGGTAAACTTCCTAATAGTTAAATCATATATATGTCTTTGTTTATCAATTACATTAGACAAAGATGGACATATGATTTAACTATTAGTTAGCTGACCAACAAGTTGAAACAACCGGCCCTTAGAATGATATATAACTCGCAAAATTCGCGATTTAGAAACATATAGACTTTATAACTTCCTTTGTTTCTTTTTTATAAAAAGAATTATAATTACACTAATTATAATATGTCACTGTTGCACATCGTTAGATGACGAATTGATGTCTAGCGCTTGAACGTTATGGATTCCTCTTCTTTCTTGATCGCTCGTATCAGTGTCAGCGACAGCACCGCTATGATCACCTGCAGTAATTGAAATTTAAAAAAAAATTAGAACAAAAGCAGCAGAAAATAGAAATTGTTATTTAATATAATTACAGAGAGAGAGAAAGAGAAAGATATTATAGCTACGATGAAATTAATCGAACTGTGTACAAATTTTAATTCAAATAATGTATATCTTGACGATAAGAAAAGGAAAAGAGGATTAATGAAGAAAAGAAGAAAAGCTTCTTCTGCTTACGTGAAGCATGCACAATGCCATCGCCAGACCGGCAAGCCATCCCGATCTCGCCTCCAGAAACCAAGACAATTCCTCCACACAGCCGTGATGGAAGGCGTTTCCGGTGACGGTATCCCGACACTCGGTGGGCAATGGTTTACGCAACTGCGTATAATCTCTGGGTCCGTCGGCTCCGCAGCATCCGACCTGACACACACATCCGTCACAAAAATTAATTAATAATCCTGAGAAATAAACACGCGGTTTTTCCCCTCCAAGGGGAGATCAACGTTCCCTTACGGTTTCTTGGATTACTCGCAGAATGAAGCTCGCCGAGTCGTGATGGGAGTTGCTGATAAGATTGTACATGGCCCGTTCGATGATAGGCTGAATCTTACTGTCGTACGTCGAATAATCAAGAATGACCGCCGCTCCGGATAGACAGCAAATGAAACTGAACGCTTGAAGACCCACGTGCTAAAATTATAAAAGTCCTTTCATTTCTACGAACTTCCGTCAAATTTGTTGCAATTGCGAAAAAATAATTTTTTCGATTTTTAAATTAATTAAAAAAAAAATCGATTTTTTATGGTGGGGAAAATAAATGTTTAAATTAAAAATTATATGTGAGAGAAATCTATTTTTGAGAGAAAGTATGAAAACTCAATCTTTACATATCTTAATTCATAAAAAGACAACTTTCTGCATAAGATGATACGTATTATCAATTTGTATTTGAATTAAATAATCAGGGATAATTAAAGAAAATTAATTTGCAACAAAATGACTTTAAGAGACTTAAGAGAATATTTTTTTGGAGGCACACTAATTTAGACATCAATCCGTAAAGGTTTAATTTCTAAGCATCTTGCAGAATCGATTTCCTCGGAAATGATCTCCTCTCAAGAACTTGCTAGTTTGATTGACGAGCGTTCTTACGGCGTATAAAATCATGATGTGTTCCATAAGCGCGGCGGCGCAGCCGATGAAGGCGATGGCCATGACGAGCACCGAGGCGGCGATCAGCAAGTAAACCCCGATGTAGATCTCGTACATATTCAGGAACTCCACCCACTCCTCGAGCGTCGGCTCGAACCGCATCCAGATCGACAGTCCGAACATCGCACAGCCCAGGATCTTTCGTCGAGCGACAAGGATTTTGTTAATTGCATGTTAATTAAGAACATACGGCAACTATTAACCGTGATAGTGCAGGGAGAGATAACATTTTTCAAAGACTGTTAAATTAGTTGCGAAAATTTATTAATAAACCTCACGATATTCTCCTCCCTCAAAATATCTACATATAAATTAAATTTCTTAATTTAATTTAAGGAATTTTTCTATTGCTCAAGAATAAATTAAATATACTCTTAAAAAATTATTTAAAAAAGATGATATATTACTGTATTTTGTATATCTGAAAAAATGTGATTTATTAAGAAATTTAAAGGAAACAATCGATTATCCTATTGAGCAAACATTAATTTCAGAAAAAACTTTGTAAGAAGAATAGAAAGGAATTCATGTTTTACGAAACAAATTCTCGATTACGAAGATTCTGTTATTACAAATGTCTTTCTTTCTCTTTTCGATTCACTATTGTCGTCGGATACACGTAGCTTTCATTTTTCATTTCGTAGATCTTTTTTTCAATTCACACTTAAAATAAATCGTAGCATCATATTTCACTATCACGGTGTAACTTCACAAGACGACGCAATCATCGTGATAACTCCACGCGCACCCACCCATATTATCGCGTTCAAGCAGAAAATCGTGAACTTAATGCAGCCGATCTGCTTCTCGAGAAGCGGTCCGGAACTCTTGACGACCATCTCCTTGCGTCCTGCGGAAGATATCCTCCGTTGCGAATTAACGCTTCCCCAATTCACGTAAGGGAGACAGCTATTTCGGGAACGATGCGACGCGACGAGAACGTAATTAGTCGATCGGGAACGTCGACAGGTACCCGTGTATCATCGCCTAACGTTCCGGCGCTTTATCACTGACAAATACAAGATAAGTGGATAAGAGCGTCCTAGATAAAGATATAACGCATCGCCCAGGTGAATCATTTCATTCGCAGTATGTGTAGTTAATCGTAAATTATTAAGAGTTGTGATTATTAATCAGCAAGGTGCTCTATACCTATGTCTATTTAATCTCGATCGGCTTTTAGTTTCTCCTAAACATTTACATATTCATTAAAAAGTCATATGCATTATGGATTTAAACAAAACAAAAATCAGGATACATATTTTATTCGTGATAAAGAAGTTAAACCTTAGAATTTTTGAAGATGTAAGGAACTTTATTAAATCTTCAAAGTTATACTGATATACAAAACATTGATAATATACATGATACTTCAAAATGTAAACAATAAATGAAATATTAATTAATCCTCCTCCAAAATTAATTTTCATTAGTATAATAAATAAATGTCAGATGTCGCAACGCGAATGAATTAAAATTACAGAATTTATGTGCCATATCAAACGTGTTTTATTTACAATAGCTCAGACAGAAATAATAATTATAAAAGATACATGATTTACTTACTCAATTTGTGCGTCGCGACATAAAAAAGAAAAGAAATTAATAGAAATCTTCCTCCGCGGTTTTCGATGCTGAAGTTTTATTTTTAATCTGCTCTCGATTGTTGTACATGTCCACATCTTGAGCGGAAGTAGCCTGCTCGCAGGACTTATCCTCGCGAATCCTGATGAATCGCGGAAACCTTAAAGATATTCCCTTTTCCGGATCGACCTCAACCAGAACAAAACCTTATTAAACGAGCTCGAAAAATTTCAAGAAAACTCTAAGGAAGAATTAATTGCAAAAATATTGTAGCCCCTATCTCTGTTTAGTTGGTAGAAAAAAATACGCTGCGTCTCCAAAATATCGCGATAACGCAAAATGTTCGATGTGGATAAAAGATTTTCGTGAGTAAATTAATTACGTCACGCAATATCAATTTCTTTTAGCGCAATTACGATAAGTCATATTTTTACAAATGCTTGCTTTCGGGAAATTCACTATTCCGATAGCCGCTCTTGCTACGGGCGAGAGGGAAAAATCAGCACTCTTGATCTCCCAGACTTGAATTGGCTCGAATCAGTGATCCGGCTCGTGGCTACTATCGAAGCGGTAGTACGATTTCACCTGCGGTATTACATGATCTTTGAGGAATTTGGTGTGATTTTCGAGGTCCTCCTCTTTGAATCCTGTGCCGATCTGTTTACGAGAAAATAACATACATCGATATGAGCTAGAAGTAATGCACCAAGCAAACAAAATATAAAGCCCATTTTACAATAGCCGTAAGATGTAAGCAATAAAAATTGACCAACAATGTCGATTATTTTTGAACTGTAAAAATCCTGTAAAAATTTGTAGCTTACTGCTTACGTCTTACTGCATACGCTTACGGCTATTGTGGACGAGCCTTAATATGCTCATAGTAAAAACTTAAATTATAAGAATTATCAAATTTGTCGTTGTGATATTTATCTAAAAAATATATATTTTAATACAAGTATTAGAGATATCTAAATACTGGATAAAGCTTTCCATTAATCATACAACGTGTCCCTGTTCACTTTCACAAGAAATATTTCGGGTACATTATACCTTACAGATGCTCTTCGTTTTTCTGATCGTAACAAGCTAAGAGAAAACCACCGTAAGTACCGGTCCTCTTTCCCTTGCCGATGTAGCCACCGATTACGACCACGTCCAAGCGTCAGGTAACGCAATGTAGAAGAAATATATTCTTAAATCAACGCTTGACTTTTGGTTTCGGTTCGTATTAAAACATCAATCTTATCGCAAACATTTAACTTTATTTTACAAATAACAAATACAAGCCGAATCACGACGGAGATTGCACGCTTATCTTCAATCTCACCGACGTTCGAAAAGCGTGCCGCAGTGCTTCCTCTGCTATAACGGCGGTCTGACCTATTCTGTTGTTGCTCCCGCGCATTAGTAGACGAGCAATTCGCTTGTTGGGACACGTGACGGACACCAGTGCCTTGATACTATCGTCGGGGGCTGGATCAAAGTGTTCCAACTTGACCTGTAAACGATATGGAACCTCGTTCGGCAGAATATCCATCAACTTTGCCCGCACCGTTTGTCGTATTATATCCTCGCACGTATTATCGCTGTAAATATGCCTTTCGTACTCCCAGGCTCGTGGCTTAGCCGTGTCTAACAAATAAGTCTGCAAAACACAAAAAAAAATAATGAAATACAGACGGTACAAATATTCCAAATATGGGAATTATATTATAATTTCCAAGAATTATATACAAATATTATTTACGATAGTCATAAATTTACCCTCAAATCGTTAATGCCATCCCCAGTCAAGGCAGATATCATAAATACGTCATAGAAATCTGGAGATTTCTTGCTCTTGGTCAGAGTGTGTATCAAGTCGAGTAATATTTCCTTCTTCTTCAGTCTGTCCACTTTGTTAATGACCAGAATTATAGGAATCTTGCTCCTTATATCTTCCGTCAAGAGTTCTAATATGTTTGTATCAATCTTGTGCCTGGTATATACATTCTCTGCGTCCTGCACAATTCCCACAATATCTGCCGCTTGCAAGGAAGTCTTCGGATCTGTTTTGAAGCTACTGTCTAACTTGAACTTTTTAGACTCTTTCGTGGAGACCATGCCAGGGGTGTCCAGGAATATCAGCTGAGTATCACCTTCGCAATATATTGCACGCGCTTTGGCTTGTGTGGTGTGCACCTTGCAGGATACAGGGCATACCTATTTAAAGACGTAATATATATATGAAGAATTCTTCTTCTGTATTTTTTATGTGCAGGTAAGAAATATAAATAAGACAACTTAATAAATTAAAGTTATGTAGGCAAGATAATTTAATTTATACAAGTATACAAATTTATGCATTTAATTCAGCCTGTGGTCTACTTGACGCTACAAATGGTTTGGAGCGTTCTTCTTCTCCTTCTTCCTTCATTGAAAGTAAAGAGAAGAGGAATGCTTCGAAGCATTTGTAGCGTCAAGTGGACCACAGCTTTAGATAAATATTAGAAACAAAGATGATTACCGATCGCTTGATAAGTTGGTTAACAATTGTGCTTTTTCCAACGTTTGGCGCGCCTAGGAAGGCAATTTTGAGACACTTCTGGGCTTCGGCACGTATCGACGTAGGGCTCTCGTTGGGTTGCAGAACGAATTCTCGTGCCGAAACGTCAACACTGTTCGAGAAACATCGTTGTAAACACCGTGCACTCGCGCGTATCACGTACCTCTCGATCGTGAATAGCATCTCGTTTTTGAGAAATCGAAGCGAAATGTTAGAAATGTTATATGCACGTCAAGTGATCTCCGAAATTATGTTCTTTTAATTTCCTTTCATTATTTCTAAAACGTTACACCACCATTTTTATAGGTTATATTTTGCGCGAGCAATTCCTTCTCTTTAAATGTTGATTTCTAATTCACAGAGTTGCAACGATTAGAATCTAGGATCTAATTAAATCTGGTAGAGATTATAATTAATTTGTAGATTTCTGAAAATTTTCACGTGTTAAAAATAGGTGAATTTTATGAGTTCCGAAATGGTTGCCACCGTCTCGATTGTCTCGATTTCTCGAATCGTCGAAATCTCGCGTGTCGCGCGCGCGCGCAACTTCACGTCGCACCTTTGCGCGCTGTCGCCGGCGGAGCAATGGCGGACGGCGGACAACTGCGACTCGCGCGAAGATAGGTGTCTGTTATCGACGCACGTCCACCGTGGCCCGTGACTCCCCCGTCTTTTCTCTCCATCTCTTCTCGCTCGTGACAAGGCGAATGAAGGCGAAGCGAGAAGGATAAGCCGGGGATAAGCCGGGTGACGCGTCGCGCGAAAAGACCGAGAGCGTTCGTGAATGAAAGAGGGAGGGGAAAAGGGAAGGAAAACCAGGCGAGGATTAGAGGATAATGCGCGACTTCGGCAGGACGAGAGTGTCAGGAGTGTGAAAAGTGCAAGGATAACCGGAGAAGAGACGTTTGCATCCGCGGTTTCTCGTGTCGCCGCGTCGCGCCAATATCGAATATCGTGCCGATGAGGGAGGCTCGACCCAAAGAGGATTACTACGTCTCAACGCGTCGACGAACGGACGCGGAATGAGACGCGGAGCCCGCCAAGGACGAGTGAGTGACGCCTTGCCCAGCTGGCTCCTCGAGAGGACCAGCAAGCTCTCCCGCTGATTCCTCGTCTATCTCGCATTCATAGGTTTCCCTCTCCCAACCCGAGGCCTGCCTCAAATGGCCTCAAATTGCAGGAAATACAGCTGAGAAAATGATCCCAGCCTGAGTTTGTTCTCTACGCCTTTTTTCTTCGCACTTTCTACATTTCTACACTTTCCTAGCACAATCGCTGTAGGATTCCTTTATTATGGATCGCACTCCTTGCTGGAACAGCTGGTCTCCCTGTAAACTGATATTCTTCCTCGCTGCCCTTTTATGCTGATATTTACTGCATGTTGATATGGAGAGAAAAAACAAACGAGCGAAAGAGCACTTGATGACATTTTATTTTGCCTATATGCTGTTAGAACGAAAGTAGAGATTTAGAAGATTATAGAAGTGATTATATATTTTTTGAAATTGGGTACATCTGCATCAGTTTTTCTTGACTATACTTCAGATGCGTGATTGTATTGTTTTAAAAAATATAATTAAAGAAAAACTTGATTTTTTACTTTTATACGTATATCTAGTGATAATAAAATTTTTACGTAAATATTTGTAATATTTATAATATATTTGATACATGTTTTGATGCATAAAATATGTTTTTTGAGTTATTTACTACGTTTACGCGAGCGTTAAGCCCCTTGCACAATAGGCGATAGCGATGAAGTTGCCGACAAAACTATGTCGGCCTTTGTCGCTGTCGCTATCGCTATCGCCTATCGTGCAAGGGGCTTTACTTCTGTAGTAACTTAAGATAATTCCTTCGCGTAAACGGGATTTTGTAGTAACTTACGATAATTTACTCCGCGTAAACGAGTAATACAGTACAGAAGTAACGCTCGCGTAAACGTAGTAATTGACTCTTTTCTATCTTCTGCTGTGTAGCTGTATTTTTGGCTTCCAATGTTTACGCCAATTGCCTTATCGGTTTAATTGATAAGTACGTGGTCTTGTTTTCAGAGCGCCACTTTAAGATAGAAGATGAACTCGACCAGCATCACAGAGACGACGATAACGCTTATAGCAGACGATGAACAGTCGGAGCCCGATAAGACGCATTTATTCGCGATATATGATCAGTAGAGCTTGGGACCGACCCGGACAAGCAGGAGAGGTGTGCGTTGAAAGGAATGTTCAAGTGGGATTGCATATGATTTGAACGTCGACAAGAAATCATTGTAGAGTAAGCGATAATTGTATTTCTACGGCATAGCTTATGTAGGTCTCTCTACGTGTTGGATATAATGCTTGAATAATGTATAAATCTTAACACAAAGACAGAGAAATAGAGAAATGATCTATATTTCAAGTAGATATATATTTTTAATTGCACTTTTGCTGTTTTTCTTTATGCGCTGGTTTACACTACCAGTTTTTTTTATAAAGATGTAGGAGAGGGATATTATTTATCCTGTATGAGACATACAGACTATGATTTACAATGAAAATACTAAAACACTGTCTTTGTATCATTAGCTAACGATGGATCTCTGAACCCGCTGACAGTGACTCCCCTGATGCACTTCTGGATCAACAAACCGGCGGGCAGGTACTACGGTTTCACTGGCCGCCGATACCCTGCCACACCTGTGCCACCAAAATCACACAGTAAGTACGACGGTATAAATCCAGGATTAACAAAGTACCAACAAAGAATATGATATCAATGAAGGGTAAAATGTGGAAATTATATATTGCAATTTTACTCCTATGTTGTGTGTACCTTAAAATTATTAATATATATATATATATATATATGTATTTTTTTTATTTGCTAAATTGTAAAGAATCTTTATCATTATCATACAAAACTCAAAATAGTTTAGGAATTATTTCTTCAGATAATTCTGTAAAGCTAACTGAACTCTTCAAGTTAATTGAATAAATAAGTGAAAGAATTAAAAAAGATTGAGGGAAAATTTTAATTATCTATTTAATTATTCTTTTTATTTCTCTTATCATTATCTTATTTCTTTTATTTGTTGCTTATTTTTGCAGACCAATGTCGGCGCGGCGGTGAACTTAGGCAAATGGTGACTCCAGTGCATCGATTCCAGGGCCTTGCAGGTAACCTCGCAGCCGGAAACGCATCGCCAGCTGGACCTAGTAATGTCAATAATTCCTGCCGAAGCATCGTCAATCGTTCGACGACGTCTGCACGAATCCATAACAACGAGAACCGTCATCACGGTTCGGCGTCGCTCAGCGCCGCCCAACTCGCCCAGCTGAACAACATCCCCAAGTAATTAATGAAAACACAAAAAGGTCTACACTAAGAGAAAGGAGACATTCTGAGAGGAACATGCTCTTCCTATATACAGGGTGACTCACTTATACATATCTTAGCAGCAGAAAGATTACTTATAAATGATTCGCCCTCGGTTTGCAGTTTTGTGAGTTTAGTGAGTTTAGATACATGGCACTATGGTGGTATTAAATCGTTTTTGGTTTAACGTATTGTTTGCAGCAATGTCACCGACGCTAGTAACAATCAACTGATTCTGTCTAATGCGACCGGCGCGAACGGTACAGAACGGAATAGAAGCCTACTAACGGGGAGCGTCTTTGATTTACGGGAGGCCGAACTGGCCGGCTTCCGACTGCGTTGCGGCATCTGGTCCTCTTTTGCTCTGGCAACAATCTTTGTGGCAGCCGCCAAATTCTACTTCGGTTATCGGGTAAGCGCGTCTGTACTTCGAGAGATTATTTTAATCTCAAGATTGTATCTCAAAATTTCTAATTCAAATACTGCCGCTGTTTTGCGATTTATAATTCCTCCGTTGTCTTTTCGTTTTGTTTCCTGATCAATTAATTCTTACCTTCGCGCTAACAGGGACCTGGCCTGGAGATACTCGTGTTTTGCGGGCTGCTAATATTGCTGCTGTCCGCTTGTTTATACTCGATCTTCTGCAAATATAATCGTGAAAGCTATTACCACCATAGCGGTCGACCGGAGCACAACGCTCGTATGCAGGAGGATCACATTGTCACTTTGACGAACGCGTCCAACATCGGCGACAGCGTTGTCAATAGAGCGGCAGCGACAGTGCCGACGACGACGGTGAGACAGAACCCGCCTCCGCCGCCTTATCACATCGCTATCCTGATACCACCGCCGTCACCACCGCCACTTGCGCCCTCGGACGAGGCGCCTCCACCCTCTTACGACAAGATCATGCGATGAAATCGCCAATAAAATCGGAACTAGGACAGCTCGTCTAACAATTCTTCCTTCGACATTTTCGTGTCCGCTATACGCAAGGCAGCACAAATCAATTCTCTAGGTTTAAGCAACATTCACATCTGTGATAAGAGCGCAATGATGATGACACATCGACAACACATCGGGGGTTCAGTTCGGGGGAAAAAAAAAAAGATTCTCACGCGGCGATATTTTTTAGTGGGCATTACGGAGAGAGCCGCGCTCCGCCAATGAATTTCCGTTTGATGCGGGTAAACTGTATTCTAATCTTTTTATACTTTACTATGAAACTGTGTGATATATTTAACTTAGGTTTAGCCGCAACGCAGCGCGTAGCTGGATACTTGGTCGAGAGCCACTTGTTTATTCTTCCGGTTAGGACTTTTGCGGGGCGCTCACTCGAGCACGGTTCTTCTATATGTATAATTCCAAAAATTCACTAAATTATGTTCGATTACTTAATTGTCTTCATAATCTTGTAGAATGATATATGAAGATTACTCTTGTTACACATACATACCTACATACAAACATACATACAAACATACATATATACGTATATATATATATGTGCAAAGGCATTCGCGATGAAAAGAAATTAATGCATGAATTCGAACGTGCAATTCGAGCCTAGGTGTCAAATGTGCAAAACCGTGTGTACGACTCGGTCGCCACTTACGATAAGCTGGTAACAGTAGGCGCGTTTAGCGTACAATTTCAGTTGTCAAATAGGTGTAACTTTCTGTCCACTAAACGCGCTCGTTATCGAATCTCATATATACGATATGCATGTCGCCGTGCTTCGCGACATGGGAGCACGCACATCGCACGATAGTTTACGTGTAATGTTAGCTATGGGTTATCGTGCGAAGTATAACATGATTTTATATTTCTTTTTTTCATTAAT